ACAATTTGCGCAATAAGATTATCATCTAGCTTACTAAGGCTTCCCAATTGCAGTTTCTTTATTCCTAATTCTTAATGCAAAGAAGATTAACAATGGTAATTACTAGGAGTATGCCTTGCCTTACTACTAATAGTTAACAAAAAAGCTAAGAAGCTTGTAGAAAACAACACAAAGTTTTACACTTTTGACTAGAAGTGCAACGATACATCTTTCTTCTTAGAAAGGCCCATTAAATGTACAAGATTTGAATCCTCACATTGCTGTGACTTGACCTTGTAGATCCATCAACGACAAACAACTTCTTCAATGGAAACTTCAGAGAAGAAGCAAGTTTCTCAATTTTCTGCCTGAGCTCACCCTCGGGAAGCTATTTTTGCACATAGCAAAGAGAACAAGATGATGAAACCAAACATAAAAACAGGAGAAATGAATTTCATAATGACAAATATTTTGAACACTCACAGGTGTGAACTTGTTAAAGAGTGGAGCTATTAGAACAGGGTAGAGCGTCATCATCACAAGAGAGAGAACAAACATGAATGCCCAAAGATAGATGGCCAGGTAAGCACCTCCTTTCTGCAACCACACAATTGAACATGAAATAACACCAATCAGTGGAGATTGTTTGCACTGTGTCATACTAGAGTGCACATAACTTAAAGTTGAAGTATTTAAAAGACAAAGCAGAACCAAGCACTGCAAATAAAAAGGTGCTCACAAAAATGCTAAGATATGGCTTTACCTGTACAATTACAATGATTGCAGACACAATAGGTGGGCCAAGAATAACAGCAAGGCAGATTCCTTTAACCATGTCTCTGAAGAATAACCATATCGTTTGCTGAAAAACAAACAGATAACAATACAAAAAGCAACAAGATATGAGAAAATAAACGGACGAAGAACCTAAGAAATAATAATATAATAGTGGTAGTGGTAGTAGTAAAACTGATAGTAGTAGTGGTAGTACAGCAGTAGTAAGATTAATACTATCCAATAAGAGAGCACGAGTAACCAGAAACTTATTGGAGATGCAACATGATAAGGAAGTCTGATTACACATACAAACCTTATTAAAACCATGACGAGCCTCAACCACAAATGTGGAGTACAGAGAGAATGGCAAATCAGTGATCTGCAGAAGAAACAAACTATTGATTGTAACCCAATAAAGTAATAGATCTTCAAAATCATGGCAATGCAAACACTAATGGAATTGCTAAGAAATGCTCAGAACTTTGTAAGCCAATGCCACCACAAGTCATTCAGCTTTTCAGCCATGATGTTAAAGCACAACATGACGATTAGTTTCTTATGGAACAATGTTACCAACCTTGTACGAACCAAAACTATATCCACTATGGAATTATTAAAAGAGCCTTCATACTAGCTGTTAGCCCATTAGCTCAGATAACGACCAAAAACTTGTACAGACCATCAAGGTAATGAATACACCATTAACAGCAAGCCTTGTCACAACTGGGGCACTAGGCTCCTCCCCCCCCCCCCCCCC